TTTGAATGATAAGTGTGAAAAGGATAATGTAGCAGTCATAGAAGCAAAAACTTTATGCACTGGGATCAACTAATAGGTTCATACCAATCAAAACAAATACACATAATTTTGCTACATCTCCATTTTAGGGATTGTGTTTTTTACTTTTTACTGGTTAACACATTTCTGAACAAAGAAGTAAAAAATACTCTTTTTTTTTAATCTGTATTTCAAGCCAATGTGTGGGTTACTTAGAGCTTTAGAGCATTGCATGAGCAAAAGCCCGTTAACAGTGTTCTAAAAAGGAATAACACATTTTTTGTTGATCTTCAGTCCTTCATGTGGTCAGCTGGACCACATAAACATAATAGAAATTTTTGTATGAAAGTTATAGTAAGTTGGTATATATATATGTATGCATGCACACACTTTATATGCATACATAGATGTGGATATGCAAGCACTAATTCAAAGTGATTTTCTTACAAAAACTGTTTTTCATATGTGTACATATAGTAGTATTCCTGAGGTAATGGTTTGGTTGCTGATCATTTTGCTTTGTTTTTTTTTTGCCTGCAGTCAACAGTGGAAGATGTAAGTACCCTGAAGTATATCATGCAATATGTTGTATGTGTTTGCTAAGTGTTTTGTCTGTGTTTGTTAAATTTTATGCATATTGAGCAAATTTTTTTAGCATAAGTGAAAAATATAGAGAATGTTGTTATAAAGCAGCTGTGCGGTTGCGGATTTTTTTTGTTACCGTATTTCAGTTAAATGCTGATCTGCATCTTGTATTTTTATTTTCAAAGGAATGTTAGAAGGTACTCAGCAGCAGCTAACATTCAGCAACACAAATTCAGCTGCAGTGAATTCCAGCTGAAGAGGAAAGCTGGGCTCTAATAGACCCTTTGTAAAATGTATTCTGAAATTTCAGTGTTTACAGAGATCTCAAACACTGCAGATTGATCCCCACTCCCAGAATCTAGCCTGTGTTGAGTTTAGCTGCTTTGTTTTTCCCAGACTCTGCAAGGTGCTTTGCAAAATTTGACAGGTAGTAACTCCTCTCTGAAGCAAGGATCATCCACACTGCTGTTGGTGTAAGAGGCACTGTGGAAAACAGCAACAAATTCATTGTAGAATAAAGTGGTAAAAATTATGGTAGTTTTGAGTGTCTGTGATCCCAGGGTACATTTCCAACTGGTTTTAGCTCCTTGTTGCACTTGTTGCAAATTCTTATCTGATTTCTTGTCCCCATCTTAAAGTTCCCCCTGAGTTTCAAGTAATATAATGCTTTCTCCTTCCTCCCCTAAATACTTTGTGTTGTTGCTGTATGTTATTGTGTAATAACTCAGATGAGTATCCCATCACAAATTATGAAATGTTGGCAGCATTTGTGAGGAGGATATGGAAGCTGCCCTTGAATGGGTCTTTTCAAACAAACTGAAAATGTGCAAAATTCAAAGATAAAATCATAATGGGGCCAGACCATTGATTAATGTGCAATTGCTGACGTAAATGGGAAGGTGCTGATTTACACTGGCTGAGAATGTGGCTTGTGAAATTAAAAGAAAATGAAGGGCTTAGGGGGCTAGTGATGCTGGTATCTTAATGTAAGCACAAACTTTTCACCCAAGACCACATCACTGTTAATATGTAACTCTTCAGTGCCAGAGGGGTCAGGCTATTCCAGACACTGCAGCCCTGTGGTACCTCCTACAAAGGAAACAGGAGCAGAAGCATGAATGCTTTAATTAAATCCTTGGTCAGGTCTTCTGCTTTGGTGGTTTGGCATAACTCCCTGTACTTCAAAAGAACAAGATTGATTTACAGTGGCTGGGCACTTGGTCTTTTATTAATGTATATTTCTGTGCATTGAAATTATGTGGCTTGCTTTTCATAACCATAATAAATTTAACATTAGTCTGATATAAATTATTCTAAATTCTAAGAGTTAGTAACTTGAAGGCTGTGCCAAAAAACCCCAAACCAAACCAAAAGCAACAAAACCCAAAAAAACCAGCAGGACAGTCACATTAATTAGAAGAATGGTGTATAGGGTAGAGGGTTTTGTTTTCAATCACAGTGCTGTGTACCTCTAGCCAAACTGTTTTTTAAACAGGTGGCTTCAGAGCAGGCTAGAGTTGGTTTTGCTGAGTTTTGTGCTTTTGTGCTTGAAGAGCTTGATATACTATTCTGTAGCCAGAACATACTTTGGGTATCTGTAAGTTCTCTCTTGTGCATTGTGGAATACTATACTATACTGTGTGGCAGTTGCTTGCATGTTTGCATACTTGCCAGCTTCAAAATTAGAGATGATTTACACAGCTCATTTGCAGTGCCCTGTGCAGGCACTTTCCTCTGTTTGTTGTTTTATTGTGTTTTGTTTTTTAATTTTCTTATAATTCATGTATTTATTTCCTCCTTTCTTCTCTCTCATTTGCAGCATCAGTGTTGTCCCTGTGTCCTGGATGAATATAAAGAGTTTATATGTCTTTTTGCCCCCTGAAAGCAGATTAGGTGTAAAATGTACCTTCAGAAGCCAAGCAGTCCCAAAGACACTAGTTACCCCTCATCTTCCAGACAAACAACAATAGCCTAAACATCAGCTTGAGACCATGTGGACCCCAAGAGCAGTACATTCGTCCTTGCTATTCATGTTGGGTGTGGCAAAAGACTCTTCAATGCTCTGTGCCACTGTGGTCCAGCATTTGCTTAATTTAGTCCACGCTACTCTGTTCTAAGCTCCCAGAAATTGAGGTCTGGTCTATGCACTGTGGTAAATACTTGTGGGTGTTTTAATAGTGTCATAGTCACCTTAGTGTTTCTATGCACTGATTTTTGTGGTGTTACATTAGTAAATGTAATATTTGACCAATGTATTCTTTTCACCTTTTAAGACAGTTACAGTTGATCTAAAAATGCTTAGCAAAACAACACAAAATTGTATTTTATTTTGGTTTAGGCCATGCTTAGGTAGAAGAAACAAACATTGTCTCTGCCCAAGCTGGTCCCATCTTACAGTCACCTGAAGTTTACTTGTTCAAGAACAGGGCTGACTTGTTAGACCACAGAAGGCTGCTGGAAATATTAATGCTCTTTGATAGATTAACCCAGAAATCTTGTCAGAAAGCTGATGCCACAGTAGCTATTATTGGGAGAAATACAATCCTTTGAATAATAAATGAGCACTTAACATGGCAAGTTGCTTGTTTTCTCAGGGGCTGGGTGATTGGACTGCATGCAATAACATGATGGCCGCCTTAGGAGCCTACCTTAATGGTTTCATCAGCTGAATTAATGGTTTCATCAGCTTGCAAGAACAACTAAATAATTGGGCACACATGGGACTATCCTAAAGTGCTCCTTTATACTTAGTGAATGCTTTCTAACTAGTTCCAGTAAAGTGTGGATCATTGGAACCTGTGCGTTGCAGACTCGATCAGAGAACTTAGTTTGATGGCCTGTTTGGAGCATGTGAGAGCTTGAGCATAGGTATCAAGAGCACAAGTATGCATGAGGAATCAACTTTTAGAAAAAGCAATGTGAGGCTTTACTAGTTATATATTGAATACCTTATAGGGGATTAGTCTGGCAATCTAGCATCTATGCAGAGAGGTGTATGGCCAGCCAAAGTTAAGTCATTCCTGGCTTGGATGCAACCTCTGTTTGGAGTCTAAATGTTAGGACCTGGTACTGTGGAAGTAAATCAGTATTGCCTTACACTTCAGTAGCATACTTTTTAGAAAGTTACCATATTTTTTCTGTTTTCTGAAGCCTTCAATTAGGTTGCTTATGTTGGGCAAATAACCTTGATGGATGACAGCACCGATAGAAATGTTTTCAGATGTTGCAGCTTAAGATATGTTTTCTTTTTCTTCCTAGAGACTCAATAAATTTTCATCTCTAATTTTGGTGATTTAAATGACATGTTATACTCTGAAAAATGTGCTTTAAATGTATCTGCAAGAATGGCTGAGCTCCTAAATTATTTGGCAGTCGCAAAAAAATTTCTTTGCTTCCCCTAATGAGATGTATTATAGCAACCTCTTAGTCTCCTCTTGCTCTGTTTCCAGGCCTGTAGTAGTAGGTGTGAATCTTCCACCTGATTCAGAACACATTGGAATTAACAGAAAGTCTATGAATTATAATTGCCTTAGGCATTAAGACATAGCATACATACAGTCTGGTACAAAATTTCTCATTGTATGTGGCCAAGACAAACATGTATATGTGAAATAATTATTAAGGAGTAAATACACTGCCCAGTAAATTGCTTGCATAAAGGAAAGGTCCACTAACATTGTTGTCACAATGTGGCAATAGCATCTTTCTTGCTGTCTCTCCTCTTGTAGAAGACCCACCTGATTGTTCTCAATACAATGTCTCCTCAAAGTAATACAGGGAATAATGCTGGAAATAGCCTATGTTTTATTCTGAGAGCTAAAAATCTGCAGTTCATTTCACTTGTGAGTCATCACCCTTTAATAAGCGTAGTATTCAGCAACCTTTATAAATGTCTGATAGATTTGGATGAAAAGACCTGTGCAAGAGGAAAAGTATTTATTACATAATAATTATTATTACATACTAGCAAAGAGACCTATAGATGACATTTATGGTTAAAAAGAGAAGATGGTTTAATTGCTTGGACCATGGTTATGAGCATTAAAGACTAAGAAAGCGAAAACAGTGTTTGGAAGTGTTGCTTTGGGTCTCTAGGAACAACTGAGAAGTCACCAAAGATGTCCATACAATAATAACCTCTCAGTGGAAATCATACATTGTGCCATGTTGCACTGTGGTGTACTATGCTGTGACTGCTCTCCAACATGTATATAAAGCTGCAGAAGTAATTACGTATTGCTGTGTGTAGAAGGTGAAGCTGGAAGGGAATAAAATTTGTGGTTTAAAAACAGGAGCGTCTTTCTGCAGATATGCTGCCCCCCTTGCTGGTGGTGTTTGAGGCAAACTCGTTCCTAATGTGAAGATTGAGTAATTTCTAATTCTTTTTTTCCTTGCAGGTCAAGCCTGTTACTCACAGTCGAATCACTGTGTCAGCCCGGTTTCGAAAACCACTCCAGGAGCCCTACACTATTTTGTAAGTAGAATTTTCAGTTAGCGAACTGCCATTTCAGGGCTGGGGGTGGTGGCATCTTAAGTAGTTTTGTTTAAAATGCTCCTCTAAATTATTTTACTTTGCTTTATTTCAGCCTGATTGCTAATGGAGACCTCATTAGCCCTGTAGTACGCCTCCTCATTCCCAGGAAAACACTGAATCACTGGGATCATGTTCTTGAAATGGTTACAGGAAAAGTTACCATCAGAAGTGGGGCTGTTCACAGGTATCAGGAAGCTATTTACAAGATACATGATACATTTGATATGTGTAGATATGTTTTTTGCAACTCCATAGGTAGATGTAATGGATCATTTCTGCTTCATGGGAAATTCCACTATAAGAAAATCAAAATACATGTAGAAGTCACAAATTAGAATATATTGACTCCCAAGCAGCCTTTATGTTTCATTTTAACTGCCATTTGAAAATGCAAATAGCTCAACTTGTTTCAACTGTTATTTCTTGATTAAATATTTAGTTAGCAGGCATTTTATAATACAATAATAATGCAATATATTTAGTATTAATAATTAAGTTACAGGCCAGAATAAAATAAATGAGCATGATAAAGTTGGTGAAGAAGTTTGTAATATGCAATAATCGGTGCTATCCATATTTCCTTTTAATTTTGGTATTTAAAATCATTGGGGCAAAAAAAAAATCAAGAAAAATACTATAGATTCTTGGGTTTTTGAAGACCTGTGCTATGATTAGGATGTGCTCTATACTCAGCCAGCTCAGCCTTGTAATAAGAGCCAAGGCCAAAGTTGGAGTTGGGAGTTGCCAGTTCTAGTATCTCAGTTGGGCTGAGTTATTGTGTTCTCCCAGGAACAGGAATTGAGCTCTTGGATAGGTAAGTTTCAGTCCCTGCGGCTCTGTAAATAAGCTCTCTAAAATAGTGTAAGGTAGTTGTTGCAAGTTTTAGAAGAAAATGATATATACAGCTTCCATGAGAAACGTTGTGTAAATGGGCTGCCAAGGTGTGTACAGGCAAATTATTGACATTCCAGTGCTGCCCCATGAGGAGCACGTTACAGAAATCCATTCCTCAGATGGGAAAAAGCCTTTTGTAGAAAATCATTCTTCACAGCTTACACAGTGTCTGAGGCTAAGCTTGCAAAATCTTTCTCAACCCAGTGAAGATAAGGTAGTCTTTCAATTCTTCTGGTTGCTTTCCCAGAGCCTATACTGATGAAGGTCATGCTATCTGTTGACTGTCAGCTCTTGCCTAATTTTTCCTCTCAGCCCTGCATTTCTTTGCTCCTATTATTTGGCTACTTAGCACTTTTACTTGCAGCTAACTAAACTTACACACGTTGCAGCTTTCTGGATCTGTTTCTCAGCTAGTATAGCTCAGAAGTGAGCAAGGTGACAGTGGTTTACAACATACCATTTTTTCCTGCTCTTATGTTGTTTAGCAATTTAAAAGCCTTTCACATTTTATTCTTATTACTTGATGTCATTCCTTGGTGAAACTGTATGATGTACATGAAAGCAGAAATCATTCTGTACATAGCTGGAATTGCTTTTTAGAAGTTCCCTTCAATGCTCAGATTTAATCCTTTGAAATAAGATAATGTGTATGACATTTTGAATTATTTAATGGTTTCCTTTTTCTGGTTTTCTGTTAACTGAGTTTTCATTTTATTTTTCCTAAAAATCCTAGGAATACATATTAAATATGTTAGTAAAGTGATCATTGTTCTTTAATAAGTTACACGTTAATTGCTGGGGTTTGCTGAAGCTATGTAAGCATTAGGGGAGTGTCTGTAAAACCACTGATGCTGAGAAGATTTAATATCTTGTTAAAGAAGCGTAAGTGGAAGTACAAGAACCTGCATTATGTACATGGCAGTTTTTCTTTTCCATGTTATTAAAAGACATATAAAGCTGCCAAGTCTTACAGTTTCACATATAGATTTTTTTGAAAAAAACCAAATATTGTTCATCTGCATTAGAATAGGGTTGTAAGTAAGAAATGACAAAGTAGCTTTTCTGCTTGTCAGATTGTGCATGGGGATGGGGTAGAGCAACCTGATGGGCAGGTACCTGGTGCATTGGCAACTGGGAATTTGGGGATATTGGTCCCACAGGTTGTGTCTTTGCTGTCTCCTTTGTCAGCCTGTATACTTGCTTTATTTTGGTTGCCACTTTCTGGCTTGGATTCAGGAGGGAAAATGGAAGTCCACTAACATCCCACAGGACAAATCCTGGGTTATACCCCAGTGACCAGAGGAAGTGACCACAAGGACACCTTTGTTGTGTAATAGTTGCCAGAGAGAACTCAGCTGGTATGTGAATGGTTGTGGTCAGGTGGGTGGGTAAAAGACTTCAGAACTAAGTGTCACAAAAGTTTTGTGATGCTTGTTAAGTCAATAGTTATTTATGTGTTTGAAGTGCCATTTTTTAAAACTGCTTTTTTGATTTCACTTTCATCTTCAGTGGCTGATTATGTTTGATTCAGTTATCATGATTATTATTTTCAGGGTGAAAAATACACTAGAAATTTCCAGATGACCCATAACATTTTGGGGAGTTATATTAAACAAACGACTTTGGTGCATTAAATATAATCTTAAAATGCAAGCAAAGTGGAAGATTGAGAACAAAACTCCACAATCATGTCTGTATGAACCCCTATATACCTGCAGCACCATACAAATATATAAAACAGTTCATAAACTCTGGTACATTGATTTACTGTTTTATCCTGAGTTCCCCAAAGCAAAATGTAACCTAGCAAAACACAGTTAGATTAATTCAGAAATGGGCTTACTGCTGATTTTAGACTGATTGTTTTATTTTCATTTTTGGGTGTAAATAATGTTGTAACACATAAATTGTTCTTTGAATTGCTGGCATGCCTGTGAAACATTTGCACTAAAAAGTAAATGTAAGTAGTACAAACAGGGTGCTTCAGAGTTGGCATACTTCTTCACAAGGAAGCAACAATGTGATCAAGAATTTAAAAAGCTGCAATTTCACTTTTAAGAACTTTCAGTCTTTGCACTTAGAAATCCAAGGTACTTTCATATGGCAGGAGGCACCTAGAAAAGCAGGGTACTTTCATGAGGGGAACTTGAGAAAGACATGGACACACTGGGAGCGCAGCAAAGGGTCACAGATCATAGAATGAGAAAATTGTTTAGGTTGGAAAAGACCTGTGAGATTGCAAAGTTCAACCTTTGACCAAGCACTATCAAGTTCACCACTAAACCATGTCCTTAAGCACAAAATCTGTCTTTTAAAAAACTTCAGGGATGGTGACTCACTACTCCCCTCAGCAGCCTGTTCCAGTAATTAACGACCCTTTTGGTGAAGAAATTTTTCCTACTATCCTATCCTGTCTGGCACAACTTGAAGCCATTTCTTCTTGTTCTGTTTCTTGTTATTTGTGAGAAGAGACTGATCCCCACCTCACTACAAACTCCCTTCTGGTACTTGTAGAGAGTGATAAGGTCTCCTTTGAGCCTTCTTTTCTCGAGACTGAACAACCCCAGTTCCCTCAGCTACTCTTCAAAAGACCTGTGCTCTGGACCCTTCACCACCTTCCTGACTCCAGCACCTCAATATCTTTCTTGTAGTGAGGGGCCCAGAACTGAACACAGGATTTGAAGTGCAGCCTCACCAGTGCCGAGTGCAGGGGATGATCACTTCTCTGACCCTGCCGTCACACTAATTCTGATACAGACCAGGATGCCTGGGCACAGGCTGGCCCTTGTTCAGTGACCATTAGTCAGCACCCCCAGACCCTTTTCCACCAAGCAGCTTTTCAGCCACTCTTCCCCAAGCCTGGAGTGTTGCATGAGGTTGTTGTGGCCCAAGTGCAGTACCCAATACTTTGCCTTGTTGAACCTCATATCACTGGCCTCGGCCCATTGATCCATCCTGTCCAGATCCTTCTGTGCAGCCTTCTCACCCTCAAGCAGATCAACACTCCCACCCAACTTGGTGTCACCTGCAAACTTCCTGAGGGTGCACTAGATCCCCTTGTTCACATCACTGATAAAGACATTAGACAGAGCTGGCCGCAGTACTGACTCCTGGGGAGCACCACTTGTGACTGGTCACCAACTGGATTTAATCCCATTCACTACAACTCTTTGGGTCTGGCCATTCAGCCATTTTTTAAAACAGTGCACCTGTCCAAACCATGAGCAGCCAGTTTCTCCAGGGGAATGCTGTGGGAAAGTGTCCACAGCCTTTCTTTTATCCTCTAAGTGGGTCACCTTGTCGTAGATGGAGATCAGGCTAGTCAAGCAAGACCTGCTTTTAATAAACCCATGCTAACTGGGCCTGACCACCTGGTTGTCCTGTACATGCTGTGGTAGGTGGACAGGTCCTGGGTTTGCAGTAAGTGGCCATGAATGACCAGAGCACAGATAGGAGGTGCAGCTTGGTATGAGAGGGGTGAGGAACTCATGGAATAGATCCCTTTCAAGGTGTCAGGAGAAAGACATTAAACACCTTCTAAGTATAATTTCTTTAATTTTAGAAATTATGAGAGTATTTCATCTTTCATAGCACTTTATATTTCATTAGTTTTATATAAATTGTGATTTAGTTCATTATTTTGCTCTGTCTTTCCTTGTTTATATTGTGACTGATCATTGTATGGCATCTACTATATTTTATTTGGTTTCATATCTGGAAATTCAACATGATTTAGTGCATATAGATTAATGTAGCTTTCAACTCTCTTAATGCACCTAACAAGGTTTATTATATTACACATTTTCATATTTTTCAGACTTTACACTATAGATGGAAAACTTGTTCAGAATGGGTCAGACTTGGAGAATGGGCAAATTTATGTTGCAGCAGGCAGAGAAAAGTTTAAGAAGTTGCCGTATGGTGATCTGCTATTTCGCAAATCTGTAATGAGAAGGCCACAGGGGTAAGTTCTGTAGGTGTGTGGTTTAATTCTCACATGCCTGTGTGTGTCAATATCTTTACAAAGTACCACCAGTAAAGTACAAAATCATCATGAGGAATGGATGGAGGGATAGATGGATGGGTTAGTAGGGGTGTAAAACTTTATTGACAGCTTCTGAGAAAGTTGAGAAGATGAAAATGAAAGAGAAGATAGAAATTCAGAAGACTATTTCACCTCATAAATATGCCACTGAACATGTATCACAAAACTAATGTTAGAGACAGTATTATTGTGACTTTTCTTAATTTGTTTTTTTTTGTTTTGTTTTTTTTTTTTTTTGTTGTTTTGGTTTTTTTTTTTTTCTAGTGAGCAACTATAGGCAATGTAAAGAATTTGAAAGTGTTTTGGGAAACAGCATTTGCAACAAACGAATTTAAGGACATTGAAAAACTATGTTGATCAACTGATGTAAACCAATTATTTTTTTAATTGCTGGAACTTTTCATTATAATAGTTGTAGAGATCTTTCACTTAGTAATTCACTGAATGCTGCTCTGCAAATTTTCTGTATATGAATTATGCATTGTGGGGAAATGTAATGTATTTGTTAGTAAAAATATACGATGAATAAAAGAATTAACTCTGTTGCCATAGCTGATTTGGCATTATCTGACTGATACATAATGTCTATGGTAGTGACAGCATACCAATTCTAAGATATGGCTTATTTCTGCAGTTCTAAAGCGTCCGCACTACCTCCAATTGTGGGATCTCGAAAGTCTAAAGGCAGTGTAAGTATCAAGTGCCATAATAAAACCTGTTTCTAATTTTGCTTAATTCCGGTAGATGGAAAATCCCTGTCCTTTGGGTTTTAATTAAATCTGAAGTGAAAAAATCCACAGCCACCTGGTGGTATGCTTATGAAAGCTTGATGAATCTGTAGTTATTTGCAGTGTCAATTAGGAGAAATCTGAGAAAATATTATTGCAATAATGGCTGCTTTATTTGTTATAAAACCTTCCATAGCAAAGTTCCGCTGCTGCCTTGAGGTCTTTCCCATAAACCTTGGCAGTTATCTTTGTGTGTTTATTTATTCATTTAAGCTAAATACCTAGAGGAAAAACGCAGAACCTTTTACAAAACGTCTTGCAGAAAATGGTGTTTCTGCATGTTGAGTCTGAATAAGGCTCTAAACCAGTTTCCTATCTGATGTGTTTTGTCCTAGCTAACCATTAAATACAGAGCTTGAGCCTCCACTGTTTTGTAGCCTGTATAGCTACTTATATGTGTACAAATGAGTCCACTGTGGATTTAAAACAGTGCCAAATCAGAATATAAGTATCTGTTTGCACAGGCTCTGTACAAGTGCTGTTTACTATACAAGACAGTGGAGAGTCAGATTCACCATCTGTCATTATAATTGTAGTAGTTGATCATGTCCATTCACTGTTTACAAAACAAAAAACTGTGGAGCCACTGAACAAAATAAGCAATAAAATATACTGTTCCATTCTGTTGAAATTCAGTCGAAGATAAAACCTCAGTAAAGAACATAGTTTCAAGTGCTGTGTGGTTTTAAGATGTGAGCTTTGCAGTTCTAGCATTTGTTAGCTTTAACTTCTTGCCTCTTCTATTGTTATTTTACAACATGGACAGAAAATTATTTGATGTTCAGTTTTAGTCACTGGGATTGTAATACACACTAATAACAAGTTTCAAAACATAAGGAGGCAGGAATACCTACTACTGCTCTTAAATATGTAATGCAACACTTGAAATGGTATAAATCATACAATTGTTTACTTCAGTTTGATATCTATGCTTTCTTACTATTATTGCTTGGGAGTAACAGTCTCCAGTTTGAATTGGAAGAGACTGAAATATTGCCATGTCATTATTTCTCTTTATAGAGAAAGGATAAGTGGTAGATTTGATGGCATTGGTAGATAAATGGTAGATTAGATGATAAAAGCTAAACAGTTATTTAAGTAAGATATTTTAAAAGGAACTGATTTCTAGTGATTATGTGAAAACTAGCAGAATCACATAAAAATGTAGTAATGTATGCAGGATGTTTTAAAGAGATGCAGGATTTTGTTCAGGACTTATTTTTCAGAAATATTTTAATTTTATATAGTATTACCTTTTAACTTAAGCAGTGAGGTGAAATGAATTGTGTATGACCATCACAGAATGAAAGGCCTTTCTAATGGGCAAGTTCTAAAATGGCATGAATTGTTCATGCAGCTACACTAAGCTAAATAGTGAAGTAGAATATATTTGTCTTCTGTGATTCAGCTAAGTCAGTGATAGGTGAACAGTTCCAGTGTTTTGTCAGTACTGGATTAGGAAGAAACTGCGTGCACTGTTAGACTGGCAAAAGTAGGAGGCAGTGGTGAGGGTGTTCAGTTGGTAAAGTCTTTGTAAAGCCTGGAATGATATTAAACAGAACTTATACAGTTCAGATTTTTATGATGTTGATTGTGAACAGATTTACACTGAAGAAAAATGTGTACAAATAGTAAAATCTCTGGCTAATACATGCAGGATCATACACACATCAAAGCAGTAAAAGTACAGACCAGGTTTCTGGTTCTGTTTCTAGATACACTACAGAGTAAGCAGAGGAACTGGCTAATGTCTTCAGAGGTGATGCAGAGGTGATGTGTGGGCAAACCCCTTTCTTAGTGTCCACTTGGCAGTCAGTGTTACTTCCATACAAAGACTGTCATCCTCTTCGATCTGCTTTTGACACTTAGGTTAATGCCCATGCCTCATTTAGACAGGCAGTGAATCCTTACAAGTTGAATTTGTTACATCTTGTGACTTTCCACACATATGTGTAAATGAGATATAGCTGTATATCACATGCATGCATGTAGATTGCCCTAGCTTTCTATTCATCAAATGAAACATTATTTCCCTATAACAAATATATTGTTTTCTTCTGGGCATTGTTGAGGAACATTTAATCAGTTGGATCATATAGTAAGTTGATAAGATAGTTACAGTTTTCTGGATAGCTTATCACTTAACTGTACTGATTTAAAATGAATATGCTTCTTTAACACTTGACACCAATCCTTAGTATTAAAAAGTTGAAATAAAATTGAAACTAAAAGAAATAAATGTTGTTGTTTGTATCAATGATAACCATGTACACATCTTTTCAGGGAAGTGATCGGCAATCTAAATCAACCACTGGATCCAGTGACCCAGGAGAAAACAGTTCCTCACCTCAGTTTCCCCAAAAGAAAGACAAAAGAAGCCATAATCCAGGGGATTCTGTGTCCGGACGGCACTTTTCTAACAACTCTACTAAAGTAAAACAGACAGTAACAGCTTCCGCAGGAGTCCTTCAAGATAATGGTCAGTACCGAGATAGACACTATTGTACACAGCGGGTTTTGCTCTTCATTTAAAATTCAGTGAAACAGTGAAATAATATGCTTGTATAGTTCTTGAATTGCCTGTTTACTCTGGCTATCTGAATTTACAAAGGTTCTTTCTGCTTAGGAAATGTACCTATGCATAACCGCTACTTTCCTGGCTTTGAGTACCACTAATTTTTAGTATACCTTGGAAGTTAAACTAATACAGTCTTATCTTCATGTTTTTGATAAAAACATAATAGAAAACATATTTTGAACATTCTCCCACAGTTCTGCCCTGCAAAAAAAGTAAAGAAAAGGAGTTGGTCTGCCCAAAGGAAAAAATGTCTTGTATTTCACCATTACAATTAAGCACTAAAATGCACCTCTAAGATTCTTAGTGGCATTAACACCACTAGATTACTTTAAAATTAAGTGCTTCGTTGTGCTTAGTATATATTACCCTAGGATGCAATGATGCCTTTCAGAGATAATAGGAAATGTTGAGATTTATAGCTGCAGTTGTTTAAGTTTACCTTTATCTTTGATAATATCTGGAGACAGCATATCTAAAATAATTTTTTGAAATTACTAGTGTGATAGCAGTTTTTACACCTGGAACTGTTCTTGAGCAATGTACTAATTGTAGGGTGTGCGTAACTCGGATAATATAACTTCTCTAGATTTTATGCATGCAGACAGTTTCTTTATTTGTTTTCTATTGAAACTTATCACAGTATCACAGTATGCTAGAGATTGGAAGGGACCTCAAAAGATCATCTAGTCCAGTCCCACTGCCAGAGCAGGAACACCTAGATAATGTTACACAGGAATGTGTCCAGGCGAGTTTTGAATGTCTCCAGGGAAGGAGACTCTACAACCTCCCTGGGCAGCCTGTTCCAGTGTTCTGTCACCCTCACTGAGAAGAAGTTTCTTCTCAAGTTTAACTGGAATCTCTTGTGTTCCAGTTTGTACCCATTACCCCTTGTCCTATCATTGTTTGCCACTGAGTAGAGCCTGGCTCCATCCTCGTGACACTCCCCCTTTTTATATTTATGTACACTAATAAGGTCACCCCTCAGTCTCCTCTTCTCTAAACTATAGAGACCCAGCTCCCTCAGTCTTTCCTCATAAGGGAGATGCTCCACTCCCTTAATCATCTTAGTTGCCCTGCGCTGGACTCTCTCCAGCAGGTCCCTGTCCTTCTTGAACTGAGGGGCCCAGAACTGGACACAATATTCCAGATGCGGTCTCACCAGGGCAGAGTAGAGGGGAAGGAGGACCTCTCTCGACCTACTAACCAACCCCCTTCTAATACACCCCAGGATGCCATTGGTCTTCTTGGCCACAAGGGCACAGTGTTGGCTCATGGTCATCCTGTCATCCACTAGGACCCCCAGTAAAAGAGGAGTTAACATACTGTGCGATGTTTGGTAACCAAAGTCTGTTGCTGTATGTTCCTTTTTATTGTTCTTTCCCATGTAAATGAACAGCAAGCTTCTCTCTGGAAAAGCAAAGCAGTAGGAAATAAACACCTCCATGTGGGATGTGAAGGGTTCTTGAATTGCTCCTCTGAGGTTTTTTTGCCCTTATTTGTCTGCCTGTGAGAGACAGCAGCACTTGCAGGCAAAATTTGAGGAAAGAGGACAACTCTTGACAAATCAGAACAAAGGTCTTTTCACTCGAGTCAGACTCTATGTGGGAGCTCCAGTGTAGTCAGAATTTGGATATCTTGTGGTGAAGAAGTTCAAAGAAAATGTACTATATTGACCCCACAGAGACATCTGCACAGTTGTCTTCCAAGCATTTATTCTGGTCACACGTGAAGATGTAGTGACAAAGCACAGGCCAGGCAGGCTGTAGGAGCTGTGAGCTGTTAGTGAGGAGTGATACAACTTCAGTATCTTCCTGCCCAGCCAACCCGCTCCGTCAAAGACTGCCCATGACAGAAAACCAGTTGGACCGTAAAAATAGAGGGTTGCAGAGGTCAGCATTGCACCTTATTTCTGTTCTTTATTATTTAAAAGGACTGAACTGCTGTGTGATTTGTGATGATGTTAAATATGACAAAGGCATATTATTTTGTGACTTGATAGCCTGTTTTGCTATTAAATTTATTTTTATTCCTCATTAGCTGAATATTTTTCACCTGTGGGACTATCTGTTGAGTTAAATATAACACTGGAGCTTGATTAAGTACTTCCACCAAATTATCTGTCTGCAGGTGGGAAGTGGAAGTTGTTAGCTGGTTGATGTACATTTTTAAACAGAAGTAGGTGATAGTCTCCTTTGAAAGCTTTCCCTAGAGAGCCTCATCAGTCAGATCAGTTTTAAGAGCCCACTGACTACAACTCTGTCAGTGGGGGATGTGAAAAACAAGATGTATTGAAGTAAGCAAAGCCCGAAACACTCTGTCCTCATCAGCATTGGCATTGTTTCTTGGTGCATCACATGAGAGTCACCTGGCTCGGTTTTCACCTGTGCAGCCCCTTCTCTAGCAGAAAAAAAAAAGTTCACAGTGGCCAAGTGTCCTGGGTTCAGCAGTAGCAGTCATTTTTCTCCTTCTTGGTAGCTGGTGCAGTGCAGTGTTTTGACTTTCGGCCTGGGAACAGAGCTGATAACAATGATGTTTTGGTTTGGCCAAGGACTTTGTGAGCCTCACGCTCTGCCAGGGAGGAGGGGAAGCCGGGATGAAGCAGAGACAGGACACCTGACCCAAACTGACCAAAGAGGTATTCCATACCACAGCATGTCATGCCCAGGATGTAACTGGGAGTTAGCCGGAAGGGGTGGTAGTCTGCAGGGTTGGAGGAGGTATTGGTCAGAGCTTGGTCGGGCTGGGGGGGCGAGTTATCGGTTGGCTGGTGGTGAGGTGATGTATTCTCTTCCCTTGTTATTTCCTTTATCATTGTTATTATTGGTGGTAGCAGTAGTGATTTGTGTTATACCTTAGTTACTAAACTGTTCTTATCTCAACCTGTGGGAGTTGCATTCTTTTCAATTCTCCTCTCTGTCCCTCCGGGAGTAGGGGGAGGGAAAGAAGGGGGGAAGTGAGTGAACGAGTTACCCGACTGAGTTTAAACCATGACAGCAAGTCTCACTACCATGCTTCCTTGCTAATGAAAGAAACAAACTAGTTTGCCTCTTTCAAGCAGACCAGGTTGTGGCTAGCTTCTCTTCCTGCTTCTTTTGACATACTAAGCTGACCTTTATCATACCAGTGAAGAAGGAAAGAAATGTTAGAGATCTGCAAACACTGAAAATATTTTCATACTCAGATGACCTAACATATCTGTATCCTACAGCTTGTTGTTCATGGCTCAGTTGGCTGCTTGGGTTTAACCTGCCTGCCCATCTCATGTGTTTCAGTACATTTCATAGAATCATAGAATCATAGAATCATAAATTAGGGTTGGAAAGGACCTCAAGATCATCTAGTTCCACCCCCCATGCCATGGGCAGGGCCACCTTACGCTAAACCATATCACCCAAGGCCTCGTCCAACCTGGTCTTGAACACTGCCAGGGATGGAGCATTCACAGCCTCCCTGGGCAACCTATTCCAGTGCCTCACCACCCTAACAGGAAATAATTTCCTCCTTATATCCAATCTAAACTTCCCCTGTTTAAGTTTTAACCCGTTACCCCTTGTCCTGTCACTACAGTCTCTAATGAAGAGTCCCTCCCCAGCATCCCTATAGGCCCCGTTCAGATACTGGAAGGCTGCTATGAGGTCTCCACGCAGCCTTCTCTTCTCCAGGCTGAACAGCCCCAACTTCCTCAGCCTGTCTTCATACAGGAGGTGCTCCAGTCCCCTGATCATCCTCGTGTACCACCTTCTTGAAAGAAGAATCATAGAATTCTGTCCTTTTCAGTTTCATTTTAGAGTGAGGAGTCTTATTCTGAGATGGAGATATATTTTTTGATGGAGAGCAAGAAGCCAACTCCAGTTACACAGTGATAATGATTGCTTTCAAGTATTGTTTGGGTTAATATAGCTCCACCGTCTGCTCTGAAGGCTCCTTGCAATTCCTCAGTTGGCTTTGCAGATTTATTCAAAAAAACTCCTTCAAACTCAAAAGCTTTGGATTGGGTAGTGGAAACATTCATCACCATCATATCTTTTTTTATGTATTTTTATTTAATATTTTCCTGAGGGACAGTGAGAAAGACTCTTGGCATTTTAGTTGGCTGCATTTGGCTGTCACTGATGAGGGATTAATTTATTTTAATCGGAAACCAATAAACCACACAATGAGTTTATACATGCACATTTTTGAGTGTATGGAAATAGCTATAAAGAAAAGATTCATAGTAGAAAAAAATGCATCCCATATTCTTCGTTGTCCTTTTCCCCGCCAATTTAGCAGTTATGTCGAATCTTCTCTCTTTTAAGTGCCAGATTGTTTGAAAGTGGTTGTTTCCTGGGACTTAACATCTGAAGAATTATGCTCATACCGTATTTAAAGCTTAACCTAATCTTCCAATAGTGTTTAGTTGGGCTAACTGTGTATTTACTTTGAATTTTTTCTTTTAACACACTAAGAATGTCACCAGCATGCGATTCATATTAAAATTGATCCATGTCATAATCCTCTCAAATCAAGATGATTAAAGAGTTTCTTAGTGTTGAAAACTCTTTGTGCAAGACTTAAATTCACCACTGCTGGAGCAAATCCAGTAGACTGTGAGCTGGTGGTTTGGCTTTTGTAACTTATAAGGTATGCTATTAATGTTATGATTGAACTCTCATTGCACTAGTAGAACCTAATTAATATTGAATATATTATATGTAACAGTAATTGCAGCTAGAAATGTGAGGTTTAGAGCTTAGACTAGTGCAGCTGGTTTGGCATAATTAGGGCTTATGAAAGTGACACCAAAGGCACATTTAATTATCAGCATCTTGGTTTAAAGTTTTGAAAAATACAAACCCCAAACCTAATTATTTTTTCATTTGCGCCACATTCTTTAAAGGGTATACTGTAGGAAGTTGAAC